CCATGGATTGATTCTACAAAATGCATCCATACTCCCAAAGATCCTGATTTTTAAAGCTTTATTCTTCCCTACAATGTATTAATTATTTATGGTAAGGCTATATAGTATCCTAACTTATGATAGAGAATGCATTTGGATTGGATTGGATTTATTTGGTGTAAACACCAAGGATAGCTCTAGAAGAAGACTTATTTCCAGTGGGGTCCTTCTGGTAGTGATTAGGCAGTACCCCGGGGGACAATCCCCTACTCTTTTCCGAAGAGTGTACTGCGTTCTTTAATGTGCACATGGGCCATAAATGCACATGGGACCAACGGCTTAAACGTCTCATCCGAAAGACGGTGCGCTATTGTAACTTGTATTTCAGCCCTCCTGCTGAAACACAAGGAGAGGCAGCGATGGGAATAGAACCGGGGACCTAGAGATCTCCACGGTTCAGCGCACACACAGTGGCTACCACCGGATTAGCCGACTGAGCTAAGCTGCACACTCTCCTCAATTTGTGAGGTCTATAAAATGGCTTGGCACTTGCAGTAATCAAAATTTATTGATAGATATATAAATTGATAACTCACAGGATCATGCAAGGATATTGTTACACTTTACTTCACAATTACTCTCTCATGTTAATATATATTCGACAGCCTTATATTATGCTGTTTTTCTGTTTATAAAAAAAAAAACAATTTTGCTATATTGTGTTTTGTATACTTATAGTCACCATGAGAAGTTCATATATCAAAGCATATTTAATCTCTTTTCATACTTTACACTTACAGTAAATCATATATAATTTTAATTTAGGAAATTTGTTAAAATGTTAACAATTTAAATGTTAACCTCTTACTATTACAGGATATCTGGCAAAAGCTACAATGGAATCCATTATCACAAGTTGAAGGCATTGTGATCTATATTTTCAATTACAGATAGCAATATAATTGGATTTTATCTGTTTTGACTAAGATAACATACTATGCATAAAACTACAATATCAATAAACTGTTTAAATAACAAAAAACACATTAGGCTAACAATAACTCAATTAGAGATTAGTAGAACTTACTGGTAGCAGTGCTACAACCAGTGGGGGTGGGGACAAGTTATACAACAGAATTAAGTGCTGCCCCTGCTTTAAAGGCTCACATTTTAAATATCCAATGAAAATAGGAGAATAGTGCCACTTGGTCTGAAGATATGGTCTGAAACAATAATTCAGTATTGAAAGATTATATCTATTAGGTAAGAACATATATCAAATTTACCAAACTAATTTATATGGCTGAGGTGATAATTGCAAATTGTTTTTTTTTTTTTTTTTTTCATTTTCATCTCCCTAGTCTCGTTTGAGATAAAGGAGAACACATTACTCTTATCTAAAATACATTGAAACTTTACACTTAGGTGGAAGTTATTCTGATCTAGTGCATTATGTTACTGGAAAATTCTCACTATCCCGATAACCAAAATTGGAGCTGACGCTAGTGGCGTTCTCGTTTATTAAAAACAAAGACATCCGTTAACAAACCTCTTATCGTTTTTTTTTTTTATTCTTTCTAAAGTTCAGTTGGAGTCAAATTTAAACTATACAGTAGAATACATTTGTGACCGTGAGTACTAGCTAGCAACATTCAGGCACATTATGTCTTTTGCTGGCCACTAAATCATCATTCTTTTTTCATGCCACATTAAAAAAAATTTGGCTCTTTTATTTACAATTTGTTTACATTCATGGAACTCTCTAAATATAATGGCCATGATGTAACAAGGGGACAAAAAAAATCAGTAATGACACTCATTGCCTGTTTATTTGAAGAATGCATGTATTGGAGGTGAGATCCCATTCTAAATATCGACATATTATTACCTTTGGTAATGTAGTCATTTTATTGACAGGGTCATCTATAATATATGAAATCCTGCCATTTATTTACAAGTGGAATAATTATCTTATATGTTAACCAAATTATAAAAAAAATATCAACATGTTTTCCACTTACCCTTAATTTTATAGAAGAGCCTATACAGGCCTACTATTGTGCAAATTTGTCTCTTTTAAGGTCATAGAAAATAGAGACATTTTTAAAATTTATTTTTGGGGTGGATATGCACTCATTACCTAAAAGAAAATAATGCAAAAACAACACAATTCATTGATCTAAGAAAAAGCATCAGTATTTTTCTAAAATCTTATTTACATATGGAGAGCAACTGCCTTTTTTTGTGTAAAAATAGATTTTTTTGTACCAGTAAGCTTTTAAGCATTGTTTTATATTACATAAATATCTATAGATATAAATGGTCCCATCGGAACTCTTGGTTCAAAAACAGTTAAAATTGTGTTCATTTCACTTGTAAAATTGTTTAGTTTTTTTCCGATTTTGTGTTCGATTTAAATCCATTAAGTTTTGCTAATTGTTTTGAATCAGATTATGTGGTGATATTTTAAAACAAAACATATGATATTGATAAGGCTTTTAGAAGGGCTGACAATTTGATTTTTTTTGGGGAATTGGAATGGTGAACTCTTGGCATTTTAGGAAAGTTTTCTTCACCAATGATGATGTCTACGTTTTCAGGCCCACTGATTTTTACAAAAAAAATGCTCACTTTAAAAACTTGAAACACTCTCAAAATGCATGTTTTATTTTTGATGTTTAGTATGATTTACATTTTATTTTAAACTTATTGTCAATGGCCTTGTAGAAGAACAGCTGTGTTAATACAGGTTTTAAGGCAAAAATTCATTACTATTATTTATAATTACTAGTTTTTTATATTATGTTTACAGTAAAGATCCTCCATGTCTGAGTGTAGGAACAGATTAGAAATGCATGATTGTTACAGAAATTAATGAGGTGTTTATTTCATAGATGTAAAGATCAATGTTGTTTACCAATATAATGATTGACTGGTGTTAATGAGAAATTACTAAGTTTATAAACACTACAGTGATTGAAGAGTCAGTTAAAAAAGGATAGAAAAAAAAAGACAAAAACAAAAACAAAACTCAACACAACCAACAAAATGGAAAAGGGATTAGGCCTACTATTTATAAAGTAATCATAATCAATAAAATCTATGGATTTTACATTTCTGGGCAACGACTTGTTATTATTTCATTTTTTTCCCCATTCTTACTCAAAGGTAAATAAAGAACAACCCATTTCATAGAATTCTCTATCTCTCCATGGAGTAATTACATTTTAGGAAAAAGTAAAATGATACGTTAAAAATAAGCCTCATCATGCCATACAGTAATACACTATTGCTTTATGACATCATTAAATACCTCCACTCATTGCATGATGTGAAAAGGCAAACAGTGCTTTAAAATGAAGTTTAATTTTGGATTTAGTGGAGTTGTTTTTTAGCAGCCAGAGTACATAAGACCTATGGTAAGCAAAACCCTGCAACCAGGGGCGGTGCCTACAGGTGGCACAGTTTACAACTTATGATAATTAGGTACATAGTAATAAAAAAAAATATGAAGTTTATCATGTATTTACAGATCCCAAAAAAGTGATAACATGAACGTTTCTTTGGTGAAATAGAGAATTACAAGTCAGCTTTTTAATAAAAAACAAGGCCAATCTTAATTTGTTTAAAATGACAGTTATATTTTGTCAATAATAATTAATTTGATTTTAATTAGGTACTGTACCAACTTAATAATAAGTCTGGCAATTTATTTGAGATTAATAATTAGGAATAGCTGATGTATACCAAGTGTCTGAATCCCGGTCTCAATGGTACTTAAATTTGTAAAACATTAACTGTGACAAATTTAATTACTCCACTGTTTTATGCTTAGAAATTTAGGATGTTTTGATAAAAATAATACCGTAATTGATAATTAATTAATGGAAACTGCATGTGAAAATTTTCTTATAAGGATATATGCTTATTCAATTGTAGCCAGGACTTATATGGGACTTATTAAGAATTATGGTATGCAATACTATGATTGGTATACATGTGTTATGGCAAAATTAATGGATCATAATTCAATTTAAAATCTGTGCCTTGCAAAATGCATTCATCTATATTGATGAAGGACTTTCATAATTGTATTTTCACCCAACGCAATTTATCTATACACGTTTAAATATATATTTAAAATTTCATATTTTTAACGAAACATTTTCAGTCTTTTCAACAAAATGAAATGCTATGATTGAACAACAAAATTGTGTTATTTTTATTAATTTTCTTAGCCATGTTGTTTTAATATTATTCTTAATTAGACCATGGAACTGTAATAATAGCTTGATGATTAAACTTCATTTGAATAGCCAATCAATAGATGAATATCATGGTTATGATACATACATTTCAGACTACTTGAGGCCAAACTGAAAAAAGCAAGTCTCTTTAAAGTGCTGAACAGTACACTACTAATATTGATGACGTCATCTTCCGTGAAACTGAGGGTTCGTACAAGAAGCCAGGCATGTGTTCCAGAGATCTAAAGACTGGTGGGGTAATAATGTGCAGCTCATAGAGGCCTGTTAGCATGATGAGCTGTATAGACTAATATTGATGAGCTGGGCCCCACCAGTTACTTACTTGAGACAACGTTGTCGTCTTTTGCAGTGCACAGTAGTAGAGCCAAGGGCTTATTCCAAGGTGGAAGCTACTGAAGACCAGAACTGCCTAACAGAATGTCTGTGTGCACACGGGTGTGACAGCGACGTTGTTTCGACATCGGTGGGTGAAGCCCTGTTCTGGACACTTATTCTGATAATGCACATGCATATCGGAACTGTGTGCCGATAGCACACGTTTTTAGTTTATGTAGTTTAAATCAAAATTATTTACTGTTGTAAAGCACATTAAGGCTTTTCTCTGCAGAATGCGCAAAAAAGATTTGGGTTATTATTATTATTATTATTATTATTATTATTATTATTATTATTATTGTTATTATTATTATTATTATTATTATTGTTATTATTATCACTATTACATTATTATTGATAGTGTACTACTAAATCTTCAACTTTTAGTCTAGCACTTAGATGCAAGTACTGAACAAGAACTAAATATAATCACTAAACAAGAATTAAATAAAAAACTAAACAAGAACTAAAGAAAAGTGCTAGAATAACAACTAATAAAATAGGATGCAGTGTTATTCAAACCACTGAATATTACATAGGACTATTTCCCCCAAATACGGTGTAGGAAACTTGTTAAGTTCATCCTGGTGTAAAGATATCCCAAAGGTTGGTGGCTGGTAAAGGAAATTATCGGAGGAAGACATTGGGAGCAATACACACGCTGAGCATTTCCTGGCACGTTGATAAAAGCCTTATGTGTTTTGTTCCTCCTCCAACGTCGATGAGCTTTGTCCTCTGACTAAAGACACTGATTGTTGTATGAACAAAGCCAATACGGTCAGTGGAGACACGCGTAGTTGATAAATACAGCCTGCTGCAGTCCTCGCTGTGTAATGTATTGGATTAGGCTCGGAGTAATGTTTATAAGGTACGTGCTTTTGTCTGCTGATCTGAACGGAGGGTGCTATGTTGACTGATTGACCCCTGTGAATATAGACAGCAAAGTTGGCTAAGGTCAAGAATATTAATGTTACATGTTAAAGAAAATAGCCATTTACAATATTGATCTGACAAACTTAGATGAGATTAGGTGCACTTAATCGAGTAAATTGAATTGATATTACCAATCTACACCAAATTCAGTTAATGCATTTGACCTTAAACTATGTTAATCACCTTGTTTACTTTGTTTCTGTGTCTGATTAAACTTGTTGTTTAACTTCTACAAAACTGTTTGAAATAATGGACCAATAGAACTAATGGACCAATAATCATACATTCTATTTTTGAACTGTGGTCAAGAGAACCAATGACAACATTTGAAAAATCTTTAAGTGATGATGATAATGGGAACATCCATTATGTATTTCATTTTGAGAGTTAAATTTGACTTGTTACTTAAAACTATCGTACTTACATAATTACTACTTTAAATACTTTGTGATTAAAGGAAAACAATATAATATTCTCTTTTTATATTTTGATTACTGCATATTCAAGGACAATATTGTATATCATAGGTTCTGTTTTGCTTATGAAAATAAAGACACCTTATATATTATTTATATTTCTTATCTTGCATAACAAACAGGCTATAAATAGGTATTTTTAGATCAATTGCTATTTAAGTTAAATGTGGTTTTGCGATTAAGCTGCCATCTTCCAACCACAAGATCATGGATTCAATCAAGTGAAATACCAGAGTTTCCTCACAACAAGAATATTTTAATATTCTGCTAATCATCAAATATACACTTCATGATCAGTGGCCGCTCTGGGTGTATTTTCTGGGGGGGGGGCTGAGCTGTCCGACAGGGGGGACCAGAGCTCTTAGGCCAAAGCTGGGGGAACGGTTTTATAGGGTGTTCCAACTCCCAAATGATATTATTTAAAGGAGAGGTCTGGATATGGCCAGAAATGCCATTCTCAGACTGTGACAGGCATGCGTTGGGCTTGGCGTAGGCATATAGTCTTATATTTTTTTAGTCCGACTGCCCGACGAGCTCTGTCCGATGGGGGGAGGGCTTGACCTGTCCGGTGGGCCTTAAGCCCCTGCTTCCCCCCGCTGGCGCTGCCACTGTTTATGATGTATACAGTATATTCAAATATTCAGCAAATCACAGGATAAATACACACCTCAGGATGCTCACAGTATAAATTAACAGTCAGCCAATCACAGAATAGCCACCTCAGGATGTATACAGTATCTAAGCATTCAGCCAATCACAGGATAGACATTTTGGGACTTTCACAGTATATATAAACACTCAGTCAATCAGAGGTTAGATGCTTTGGGACTTTTACAGTATATTTATAACATTCAACCAATCACAGATAGACACTTTTTGGGACTTTAACAGTATATTATAACATTCAGCCAATTACAGGATAGTCACCTCAGGATTTACATTACATTATAATGATCAGCTGACCATGTAGGCCTATAAAGACAGATTTTGGATGTTTTTGCAAGTTTCCTACCAATTAAAGATCTGTTCTGGGACCAGTATTTCCATGGTTTTTAGCAGATAAAAGAAACTTGTTACTTTGGGTCAGAAAAGTGGTCTTTAACTGGAGGAGTCATTAATTAGAGGGAGACCTGTAATATTGTACCCCACAAAAAATCATGGTCAAGTAATTAAAAATCACCTAAAATCACCTTATTTTGCAGTGTAGCTCTCACTCATCTAATCATCATCCCCCACTTCGTCCCATCATCCCTAAATTTAAAGACTCTTAGATACCCACTGCATGTCCAGCAAGCCAAGAACGTGATGCAATTATTAGTCTTTCTTGAACCTATTACCAGCCAATTATAACAGAACCGTTTTTTATCTTGATTCTCAGTAGAAACACACATTCACATTTTTGTTCTTAGTTTTAGTTTAGTTGTTTGGGTTATTTACAATTAACATTTAAGTTCATTAGCTTAATACAGATTACAGTTAGTTACTGTAATAAATAATAAATAAAAAATAATGGTTAAAGTAATCATTAAGTATTAATTACTTTAGGAGTCATAATGTCTTTTGATAGAATTCAGAGAGGCAAAAAAAAAAATTCAATATTGCTCAAAGAAGAAAAGGAAAGCAAAGGGAAGGAGATTGAATAGAGGAATAAATGGGTATGAGTGCAATGCTTGGATTGATGAGGGATGGAGAAACGGGAGACTGGTCATAGAGGGAGAGAGAAATAAGGAAATAAAGGGATAAAGGAACCTTCAATATAATTTAAAAAAAAAAAAAAAAAAATATTTTATTTAAGCAACTGAAAAATTGTTGAGACATCCCTTATTTTTTTTTTTAACAACATCTTCGGTATTGCATGAGTAACGAACCATTAAGTGTGAGACAACTGTTCTTTGGTGAAGAAAGACCTGAGGCAAATTGCTACTGCTTTTACCATGATATTCCTTTTTTAGTTTTAATTCTGGTTCCAACCAATTGAGCAGATATGCTTATTGGTAATAGCACAAGCGGATGTGATGTGAACTTTAGATATGCATCATTGGTTACTCGTTAAAAATACATCAACTTGACAAGTAGGTCTAAAAAGCAATATCGCATGAAGCAAAACGTCTGATGAGGGAAATGGTGTGTGTAGTAACCTTGAAAACATGTAAAAATAACAATAACAAAAATAATAATAATAATAACAATAATAATAATAATAATAAATAATAATAATAATAATAATAATAAACAATAATAATAATAATAATAATAATAATAAAAATAATCATTTACTGTAATTTAATAATTTGTTAATTTTACTTAATTTGATTACATTGCCCTTGTTATTTATTTACCTTTCTGAAGAATTTTATATTGTATTTTTCGTTGTGTGAAATAAAATAAAATGAATGAAATGAATAATAATATGACTATACAATACAGGTCTTTGTGGTCTAATTTTATGACACTTGCCTTGACGGCAAGAGGGTGCAGGTTGGAATCCCACCAGAGACAATTTGTTTTTTATACAACTGAAAAAGGACCTTTTTGTTGAATGGATAACGGTATGCTTTATACGATTATGATATTCTATTCAAATACTGTTATTATTATTTAATCATTTTGTTTATATATTTATATACTGTATAATAAAAATAATAGGCCCAGTAAAAATCAATGTTAGTTGTCTTATCTCTGTTTGAATTTTTGAATGTTTGTTTTAAGTTGTCATTATTTTTATAAAATTTTCATTCAACACAGCAATGCTCTTAGTTTCTCAAATGAACCGGTAAATTGTTATATCCACTACTTTGGCTTGTGTAAATTAGATTCAGTAGCCAGCATTAAGACTTGATCTGGAAAAGCTTACGACCAAAAAAAAAAACATAACTTCCTACTTCCTATTTTTTACAAACTGTTCAGATGATAAACTATTATTTTTTGACTTGGCCTTATTCAGCTTTCCTTCTTCGACAGGCTTTAAAAGGAAACCATTAAAATATAGTTGAACATGTCCTGTTGCTAGATGAGAAATCATCAAACTGTAAAATGTGGAAAGAATTCACGAAAGAAGACAAATTAATGTCAAGCTTCTACGATTCAGCAAATGCAAGCTTATCTGTGAGAAACCCATTATGTAGGCCATCTAGGCAGAGTGTACGAGACACCACACTTACGGTAATTCAAGCTAAAATCCAAGTTTTAAACAGTAAAGCATTCTGCCTCACTAACACCAGAACAATAAATGATATCCATTTAAAATTTTTATTTTGTTTATTTTTTATTTTTACATTTCTTTGCTTATTTATGTATATAATGTAGGGTCTATTGTTAAAATATATTTTAAAAAATATAAAAAAATATAACCTTAAACATTCAAATGAGACAGATTCGTTTGACTGAGTTACAGATATTTTATTTTGAGAATTCTTAAATTGATTACTAGCCAACTTATGGGTCCTTGCAAAACAGACATTCCACGCCTTCTGATTTGATTGGGAGTACTCAAGAATTTTCCTCCATAAACTAAGTAGTTGGTCTCAAAAAATCCTTAAGTTAGTGAGTTGTCTGACTAACTTGCGAAACATAATGCCAGTTGACTCTGAACGTGAAATCAACCATGTATTATTTATTGGCCTTGGTCAATACTTTCAAATACATTTGGGGTGGGTGTGCTCTTTACTAGCCAACCCTGTCTCCCAAGTACCGAGTTCCAGGAACTGGAACATCAGGTAAGGAAACAAAATATAGAAATGGTAGGTCTATTATTTTTGCTTTTGTTGGACATTTTTCGAAATATATATTATTTTTTTTCAATTGTTATTATTATTATTATTATTATTAAAATTATTCATTTCATGAACCCATTGGTTGTTGGAATTTTGAAAGTAACAATTACCATGGAGACATTACTGACCTTTCATAACATCATTAGACAGAAACAGAAATTTGTGGTTTGGAATTAGAAGAGAGTACTCATCTATCCACAACTGACATGTGTCCAAATTGATTATCCTCTTTACCAACAAATCTTCGCTGCGAATTGTTTGCTGCAACAAAATCTACTTACACGTCTCTCCTGGTTTTTCATATAATTGTCTTCTTTCTATTTTTGTTTATATATACCACTTGTACTTACATGGGTTATTTGAAAACTAGTTGTAAATTCGGTATCCTATGATGATAATAATGAAAATAAGCCTTAAGGTTAATAATAGTTTCAATAATTATAATCAAAATTACTAAAATAATACAAATAATAATAAAAAGGGTCTATAAAAAAAAAGCAATAATAATAATAATAATAATGTGAGAACTGCATATATAACAAGTAGATTCTTCGTATAGGTTGCCTAAGTGGCGAATGATTTTATCTGACTGTATTTTGTGTTTTATTTTCTCTCAGGTTGACAAATGAAATAAAATGATTCTGAAAATGAAATTTGCATAATAATAATAATAATAATAATAATCTTATAAATTCACATTAAGCCCTATTCTGTCAGCGAATATATATACTATAAAATGTGATATTTTCCCTGTACCTTTTACAATATCTATATTATTTTTTATATCTATATCATACTATTATTATTATCATTATTAAAACTATATAACATTGTTTTGATGCTATATTATATTGCTATAAAACTCAGCTAATATGCAGCATTGATTCGACATCTCTCAGACTTACAGCTAAGTGTATGTCTCTTAGTTAATGGATAATACATCCAACACCTCTGTTCATAAACACATGTTGTCACGGCTGCCACTAATCTGTTACACAATTTGTCTTATTTTCAGTACATAGTTGCTTATGATTTATATAAAGATTATAATATACAGTATTGTAGGCCAGCTGTCCAGACACTAACAGTTCATTTAATCTGACTACAAAAATTTTGTGGTCAGACAATCTTCTGCACATAGTAACTGCTACTATCTATCATCATAATCAATATTTATTAACAAATATTGGTGTTAAACATTATTTACAATATATTATGGATGTCTAAGGCCGTCTACAGCATGTCATTTAATACCCTTCACAGATTCATAGGATTATGCTGAATAACTATGAACCTGCAATTAATTAATACTGTTTGGCATTTGATTATATCCAAAAGTTCAAGTTCAAAATAGGTTATACAGTAGTACAATACATTACATAAAAATATGTAGGTCTAATGAGTATGATACTTGCCTTGACAGCGAAAGGTTGCGGGTTCGAATCCCACCAGTCACTTTTTTTTATACAACTGATTATAGGAACTTTTCATTAAAGGGCTATGCTTGATATGATTATAACATCTCGTACATATTCGAGCACTGTTATTATTATTTATTTATTTTAAAAAATTTTTTTTTATAACAATCGTCCAACAGGAACTCTTCGCTCCCATTTACAGGCGAAAATCCATTATCCATTTGTTTATATTGTTTACATGTGCTACGCAGCAAACCTTATTTGAATTTATAATTATTGTGGAAGATATAATACATAAATATTATATATACATCCCATAAAGATGTCATATGTAGAAAAATTTATGTCACACATTATAGGCTCAACTATGTAAAATATTATTCACACTGATATTATAATAATCAATTGATTTTTATAATGCATATTTATTTATAAATGAACAACATGAATGCTGCAAAATTTAGACATTAAACAAATTATGAAATTATAGCAGAAATAAAATATACATACTAGCAGCATAATTCACATATAAAAATGAATAGTAATATATCAGGTATACAAAATCTAAAGTTGCTCGTGCATATCACACTCAGACAGAAAGCAATAATAACCACATCAAGTGATGAAATGTTGAGTGCTTCGAGAAATAACATTCCTGAATAAACGAAAAGCTAAAAATAGTACTTTTAGCAGAGTTTGCTTCTTGAATTATTTATGAATGACTTATAAAACGAAAACAGTGGTGATAATCCGATGCAAGATTTTACTAGGTGTACATATTTGTAATAGAACCATTGGTAGTCATAGAATGCAGAGCGCGCTTTTTTTTTCTTCATTTTTTAAGGGAGGAAGTGAGAGGGAAGAGGTAGAGAGGAAGGGTGAGAAAAGTAGGAAACTGTCAGTGAAAAGAGAAGAGACAATTGAGGGGAAAACGAAGATCTTGCGAGAGACAGGAAGACGCAATGGAGAGGGAGAAAGGCAAACTGCATTTGAAAGGAAGAAAGATGAACATGAGAGGGGGGAGAAGTGAGTTGGGAAAGATGAATGTGAGCAAGAATGGAGGCAACTAAGAAAAAAAGAGAAAGAGAGCCACATGAGTGGGGAAAGGAGAGGACACACAGGTAGGAAGATGAAAGGAAAGAAGCAGATTAAAGGATAAATTGAGTTAAGGCATTGTAAATGAGGCAGATGATAGGGAAAATGAGGATGTAACTGCAGATGAAAATAAGACAGAGGAAGATGAGAGGGGAAATCAAGGAATATTTATTGTCAACAATTCAACATGATACAGTTGAAATTTGGAAATGGAACTGAAAGTATTATTCAGGGCCCGAACATCAATATTTCAGACTCCACTTATATCAATATTTCAAAGAACAGGTAATGACAATGTTTCCACTGCAATGCATTATCATCTTCCTAATACTATACCTGCATTATAGAATTAGCGATTTCAAATTTACAATAAAGATACGGTATATAAAGCAAATTTATATATAGGATGAAACACATAATATTTCGGATAAAATTCAATATTAACTGTAAGTATTGAATAGGGCCTATACATAATATATTAAATGCATTATAAATGATATATATGTATATGATTCTCCGTGGAATAATCTTCAATATTATATGTTACGCTTTAGTGCTCATAAAACAAGGCATGATAGTCAGAAATATAATATATAGATCTAGTATTTCATCTTTTCACTGCCAATAGCCTTTCAACATTCTGTAATGTTGGTGTCTATTCAATTACATTTCATATCACATTTCATGAAAGCTCTTGAAAACTTGGCAACCATTATTGAAATTGACTTAATAACATCCTTAATACTTGAGTGAGTGTTACTGATACCAAAATAGGCAATAAAAAATGGGATGAATCTATTTCACCCAAAACTTTTAAATATCCTTACGACAGAAACCTCTAAGAAACCCTTCGGAGTACTTTTTTCTTAATAGAAAAATTACGAATGTCTTCCTACTGCGTCCAAACTATCAGATCATAAACCAAGCCTTTCATATTTCATATTTGATACGGTGTATGTATATGAATACTGATTGCTTTCAACCATATATTGCATGTACACATCATAAATAATTGGACAACTGCCAGGTTCAGATTGGTGCCATATGATATGAACTGCATGATGGGAATTCTAGGAGTTGTTTGGAATAATATTCAGTGATGATGGGCCTATCAACATGACACATACAAACTTTATTGCCTGTATCAATATTAATATCACAATAAGCATAAAAACGCTTTGCAAATCATTCATCCATGCAGTTGATTATAAACTTTGACCTCTCTGATATAACATAGGCTTATTTATAATGTTTATTCATGATAATTTATTGATGTTATCTGATTATTTATACAACAAATATGATAAGTATAATTATTTGCAAACATTCACCTAAGTTAACACTGCTTCTATAGCTATTTAGAAAAGTTACAATGATTTATTCTTTCAATTATTTTGATACCTTAAGTTTTTACATTACAATAAATATTTGGAATTTTAAAGATTTTTACCTTTTAATGTTTTTGCTTTGTAAGTATTAATTTGTATATAGTTGATTTATGTTAGCATTTGTTTTTGCTTTCTCAGCTAACAACATCAATAAGAATATGCTATTTATACTGTACATGTCAAATGTTAAACATACATATAATAATCACATTAAACTTTATTAGTGTAAGTAAAAATATTTATTTGTCATATCATCCACCCATTCTTTGCTACCACTTTATTAAAAAAAAAATTATTTATTTAAATATTTGGTGTATTTTTTATTAATTTTCTTGTTATGTTTTTGTTTTTCCAGCCAATGCTATGAAGAAATAAACTTCAGAAGCCTACCGAGAGGATGATAGTGGAAACTATATTTTTGTGGACTTATATGTAGCACAACAATTCTTCTTAGAATAGTAGCCTATATTAAGCTCTTATCGTCACTATCAAATTTAATGTGACATATAGCTGTGATTTGTCCATATATGGGTATGAAATGGCATCATCATGTCTATATATGGATATGATATGACATCATCATGCGTATTTATTGATAATTCACACACATTTGTCACATAAAACATAGTGTGGGTAGTTTTAAGTGTTAACTTTTTCATAGTCCACTACAATGCTTTGGCCTGCGTAGATCAATAATTTGCTGACATAATATGTAGCTCACAGGAAAAAGGACTTTTTCAACAAACTTTTTTTTTACTTGACCTTACACATTATATTTTTTTGTTTTGTTTGTAGTTTTTCACTCCCAAGCGAAAAACAAGTGTTCCACTATTGCACGTCAGTGGGCAGGGCTGCCAAAAGCAGAGCAGTGGTGATGCCAGGGGGGGGGGGGCATTTGTCATCAGACCAAAAGTAAAAATAAACAATAATTTGCCTATCCAAATAACGCTATTTTGGTTGCAAATCCCTAATATTATGGTCTGAAAGCACATTTAGGACCAAAGTAAGACATAAAAACTCTCTATATGAAACCCAACAGGGATTTTTTTTTTATTCCAAGCCACTGACCGAGGCTTCGTCGTCGCCTTGGTTTGGACCCCTAAATTGGACACGTTGGACCCCTTGTCTGCAAATTTCTGGTGCCTCAGCTGGCCCAGGAAATGAGAATGTTATAATTGATGTTGACAATAAAGACCAACATAATTTTACCATGGAGGATCCATGATTTTACTGAGGCATAATTTGGAAAAAATTTCAATGAGAATTTATTGGCACAAATGGTCTTTTACTTCATACCTTGCATCCTTATTTGTGAATGCAACCTAAATATAGCTTTTGTGGCTCTGTTTTCACTGGTTGTGTGAAAACTAGCTTGCGTACGTATTGAGCAGAAAGCATTGCATATTCTGACACATTAAGTTTTTTAATGACCTGAAATTGTGATTTTGCAGGGGTGGATCCAGAGATGTCCGAAAGAGGGGTCCAGAAGGGGGGCCAAAAGTGGGGCCGATCAAGATAATAATACTCTAGGCAGTCCGGGGAACTTTCTGTGTTGTAGACGCCCGTAAATAATCTCTGAGGCCTTTTGGGTGATCAATTTTTCTTTTTTAATTTTCCTTTTTCTTTTTTATTTTTTTGACTTTCCAAAAGGGGGAGGCCCCAGGCTGGGTGGGCCCCCCTTGGATCCGCGCCTGTTTTGCATGGTTATTTTTCATAAACTTGCATATTTTACATTAAATGGTATTTTTTTTTTAGATCAGAATTTCAATTAGATATTTCATTACTTCATCTCTAAATTAATTATGACAATTCATAAAAAATAATACTTGATCAGTGAAAGTGATAGCTTTATGCATTTTATGTCATAAATATACTCTAAAGCCATAAATGATTTTATTTCATACTCAGGCTTACTACTTGAAATATATGGCACAAAATGGAAATATCTACCTTAATCATAATGAATAATACGATACATGGTTCATTTGATGTTGCTAATAAGATTGGAAGGAAATATTCACCTTTGAATATGGCATGCAAACTTAGCCGGATGCATAAATTCGCAACACAGTGTGTAAAATAAATGTACTGTAGATTGAGGCAATGCAGTGGTTTTCATTATTTTTAGCTTGAAAATTCAACATCAGTTTTGCCCTATAGGACTAAAAAAAAAAAAAAAAATCAGCAAAATTACGCATCCAGAACCCGATTCAGTGGCAGATCCAGGAATTTGCAATAGAGGGGCCCAGGGAGGGGACCTTCACACATATAGGGTCTATGAACCCCAACCACACCATGGTTAGGGCTGAGGTATGAAAAATTACTCACTCAAAGACTTAAATTTGAATATATAATTTTATTTATTTATTCATTTAAAAAAAAATAATTTTGAGAATTTTTTTTCTTTTTTTGGGGGGGGGGGGCGACTGGACCTCTTTGAATCCGCCACTGCATTTAATAAACAGGTGCACAACTACCTTAATTACAAATATATAAACAAATTTAACTGAACTACTTATAATCAGTTGCGGTTCTAGTGGAAGGGGCAGGGTAAGTAACCACTGGCTAATACTGATTAAACATTTATCTTCTAAAAAATTATTTGCCTATGTTCTAATAATCAGAACTGCTGAATATGACCAAAATTTTACCAGTTTCCTCTCCCCTTCCCTGATTAGATTTATATCCTTAAGCTACTGCTAGTAATAATCCAGTTAATAACACAATAATTATAATAGGATTAGGCCTTAACAAAATGGCAAAGATGTGATAATTTGAATACTAATGGTCCCTAGACTGAAATCTGCTTTTTAGTAAGTGTCAGAGCATTACCACAACACTGCTTTCAACCTGCTTTTAATAAGTATAGCTTTTTATGTGTCTGTGGATATTAATTAAAAGAGGTAGTCAAGTAGAAGTAAACTATGTACTGGCAGGTACAGCACTGCCTAGTTTTTAAAATTTTAAATGGTGTCATTAATAACTAGGTTCCCTAATTGCACTAATGGCATTAATACCTGTACTTTGAACTTGGGCAGACAGAATCATACAAAATAAATGCATATTTTTGGTTTTAAATTTATTCATATTTGCTTGTTGTATCCTGTGGCTAGTAAGTATAGACTTAGAGTCTGAGTCAGTAATAGGCCATCTATATGCATCTAACCCTATCTATGAAAGAGCAATAAAACTAAATTGAAATATGATATTTCATTTTACCTTTACTTTCCCAAATTCAATTTCTTTAGTAATACTATTTAACATTCATGATTGTCCTGTCTGTGTTGGTATATCTAGCTAGAATGTCATGGAAAGAAGCAGATGGAGAGGGGTGCAAAAAATGTGTCAGGGTCGCTGGGGTAATGAGGTGGTTTTTTACTGCTTTAATGTCATACTATCTGCTTAGTAAGTTTACAGAGGGGGAGGGATGCAAAAAACCTTTTTCTGCAGCATGCTACAAATCATCTCAGATAATTCTATATATAGTCATTTAAAAGATCAAAACATTAATAAACTTTCAATAATATACTTAAGCCTCCCCACCCCTCACCCCATTGGACAGGTCAAGCCACCTTCCACTGGCCAAAGCTCGTCAGGCAGTTGGACTAAAAAAATAAAAAAAAAATAGGCCCACACCAAGCCAACATGTCAGTCACAGTCAACATGTCAGTCCAGCCATCTGGAGGTCTCTATTTAAAACAAAAATATCATTATGGAGGGGGGGGGGGAATGGACACCCCATCCCAGATTCTCCCCCAGCTCGGACATACAGCCCTCGGATGGTGCTGGGCGCCAAAATTATCCTTATCTCAATCAGTTCCCCGTCGGATAGCTTAGCCCCCACCCCCCAAAAAAAAGTACATGCTACAGTCGTCACTGATCGAGACATAAGACAGGCACTCACTGCATTGTACGACGAAACGAACTCCGCTCCCTGTGAGCGATACACGACACGACGCCGTCTGTCCTTGGCAGTCTGAAAAGATCGTCATTAAAAATGGATTCGTTGTGCATGCGTCGTGTCATTGTGTTTTCCATAGAATCGCGTCGGCATAATCCTTTATAATCACTGAAATAGGGTGGTACAGTAAAGCTCTTATTTCTGTGTATACCAGATTTGGTTTTATTGGCATTGCATAATTTATGTGATAATCTTATCAATCTTTATACAAAAGTCAAGAGTATTCCGGAGGAAACCATCCAAGTTGATCTGAGATGGTTTGTTGCAAAAGAGGATTTCCTCCATCATTTTAATCAAAAACCTCAGTCAAGACCACACTTTTGTTTTATAAGAACCAGTACAAGTTTGCCCAGGCTCAGTGTTCTTATTTTGTTGCAAATTCAGGCTCAAACTGTTCGTATTTCGTTCTTATTTTACGCACTTTTCAAAGATACTGGTAGAACATTTTTATTATTTTACCATCTATTAATAGACAGTATAACATAGGAGTATATAATGTTGAAACACAGTAACTTTTTTTAAACATTAATACGTTATTGTATGTGACTAACCTGATATGTTGGCTTTTCAGTTTTTTAATAAAAACCTCATTTGACATTTTACCCCAGCCTAAATTCTTATTTTGTTCTTTTACTTTAAAGTAATTCAGCCTTGGTGTTCTTATAAAATGTGTGTTATTAAAAAAAAAGTGTATTATCTTTCGACTAACAACTTAAAATGCATTTGTGTTTTTGAATCCTTGTAGATAGATAAACATTGCTACCTATGTGGGTCTGAAGCAAATCAGCTTTCTACATCCAATATTTATGTACTTTTCAAGAATTTGTTTGCCACACAAAATGAGTCAACTACAAATTATTTTGTAGCTAAGGCAACAATACTGCAACTAATAGCTTTGGAATTTTTGTGAGGAATTTGGTTAGTTTGAACTTTGGTGTATAGTATTAGGTTTCAAATTTCACAGCCAGATGCTTGGAGATCTGAAAAAACATTCCCATTTAAAAAAAAAACCTCTGGTACATACCTCATTATAAATTAATTAGGAAATAATATTGTAAGGTTGCCAATAATAGGAGAAACAAAATGTAGTATACAATATTGGCAATACTCTCAGAACCTGGATCAAGGTGATTGTCCTCCATTGCAATAGGAGAGGAGAGCGGGGATGGGGAGGTGGAGATGGGTGGTTGTCTTCTGGCAATTGAAGTCACCATCAATCATCTTATTCATAAAGAACTAATGGAAGATAAGTCTATCAGAATGTTTAATTTCTTAATCTTATATTTAGGAACTCAACCACAAAATACCTGAGGCCTTTATATACAATACATATAACCACCATGATGTAGGCGTACTTAAACATTAGTTATTTCACAATAATTGGTGTGGGAAGAGGAGATAACTGCAAGACATAAGCAAACACCAAGTTAAAGCCTGGGTTCCTTAATCGCTACACTATCCTACACTGTTTTCAGTGCAATCGTTGTACTGTGTAGTGTAGCAGTCCCTGATGCAATCGGCAAGGCTCCCCAATTTGACCAACCAATCAGCATCACTGAAAGCTGTTGGCGATAGCATGTAGCGATTGTATGAAAACCAAGCTTAACAAGAAACAAGTAACAAGCATAAATATGTATAACAATAGAATGGTCACAAATCAAAAATAAGATCAAACACTGTAGGCTTATAGTATACAGTTAGTACATAAACATTTTTTAAAAACTATAATGCATGACTATGAAGTAATAAATGTGAAATCGAAGCTGATGTAAAGTTTGTTCAAACCATCCCATAATCGATGTCGCAACCTCTCACGTACATTTCCTTTACACATGCTTCCGTTCGACAAAATGCAAATGAATTCAACATCTCACAGGCAATAAGTAAAACAATTTCAGATTCTAGTATTCCCACTTTAATTAGTATTCATATTGTGTTCGGAATACATAAAGAATGAATGGAAATGAAGTTGCGTATTATTACGAAAAGTAGAATAACGTGCTAAAATTCACTGCCGATTAAATAATGACATACAATAATTTATTATCAATTTTGCAATAAACATTAACTATTCTATTATGAAAAAGCCATGTCCTTGACTTGGATATCTCCAGGTTCAATATGCATAATTCATGCTTTTTTATTATTAGGGACATTAATCAAGTGTTGCCTACAAAGGCAACTTATTTTGTTTAGGTGGATATTCAAAAAATACAATATTACCAGTGTAGAAATTTTACCATACTACAATTCACATTTGCATATCTGACGCATTTGAAGTAGAAAGTAATTTTTAACAAAAAAAAACATATTTGTCCATGAAAATCTTTTCATGAGATTGAATGTTTTATGGCAACACTTTTATGAATATACACTAATACTTGGGATATAAATTAATTGGAAAGAAGTTTAGCATTTTTTGAATAATAATATCTATCAAATGGTTTATCTATTATGCAATACCTTAAGAAAATTATGTCTTAATGGGAAACTTCAAAAGAGCAAACTACGTTTTGCTTTATAGATTAGTCTGAAGGGCACCTAAATGGTAATTAGATGGCTTGGGTTCGAATCCTACCGAGGACTATCATTTATTTTTTCTAAAAAAATATTATTTATCATTATCTTTGATAAAGTTTTTTGACCATAGTGTAGTTACTATATGTTATTTATATATTACAATCATATGTGCAACTTTTTAGAAATATGTGTCTTAATGGGACAGTCCAAGAGTGTAGGCCAGTTTGTAGAGTATCTCACCAATAACTGGAAGGTCTTGCATTCAAATGCTGATGGGAACAATACGTTTTTCTAAAAAATATACACAATTAATTTATATAAAAAAATTAAAACTTTTATTATATATTCAAGAAATTTTTCTGTTGTTACTGATTCTGAAAGACTGCATGATGTTTTCTAATACATCTTGTAAAAATAAAGTAGATTTATTCAATCTTCAGAAATATAACATTCTTTTAAGATGATTCACTAAATCACCAATTTGTTCCAGAGTTGGCATAAAACATACCAATGAGAAATATGGGCACATTGTGGTCTATTTGATTTATTACTGGTTAAAAATACCCAGAAGTGACAAGTCCTCAGAAACTTAAAACTTCTTTATTGCACTTTGTTTATTTGAAGTTGTGAAAGAATCAGACAGTCCTTCAGTTTTGCAATAGGGCCCATAATACTGTAGTTAAAATGAGGTTTCCAGAGGGCTAAGGTCAAAGCGAGTGTCATTACTTATCCTGTTGAATTTCAAACAGAGAAAAATAGCACAACAAGGAAGCCTTTCATTCCGATCTTCTGAACTTGGTCCCCCTTGGGAATGTCTGATGATGAATTGATGGAAGGAACCAGATAGATGTTATGGACTACAATCTGTACCTTATGGTTCAGTGTAACCTCTCCCTTTGGATAACATATGAACCACATAAAATGTCTCCCTTGTTGGTAATTAAGAGTTTATATTCAGAAGTGTAGTACTGTATATTATTAAGTTCATAAATGCAAAGACAGAAAAATGATTCTTAATAATGTAATTGCATTAATGTAAATTAATATACCCTACTTTGTATCAATTATATTTAAATTATGTTCAGTAAATTCTCCACCAAGGAAAACTTCAACTGTCCCATTCTCCTTTTCCCCCACCCCCATTCCATGGAAAACAGCCAGGCCTCTCACAGGCTAATAACAAAATGCTATTTTCTGAAAGATAGTTACTATAGTTTGGAAACTTACACTAGAATAATTCAACTAATTCTCTACTGAATTTTAAAAGGAAGTTGATTTTATTAAATGTATGTTTAACTTTTATTTCTTATTTTGGAAGGTTTCACCTAATAAATATAATTTTTGTACCAAGTCAAAATATGACTAGTGTACTACTATTGTCTGGCCAAATTAATTTTACAAATAATAATAATAGTAATAATAATAATAATAATCGTGCAATA